GTGGTAAGTGTCCGTATGCTCTTATATCTCTTGCCTGAGGGCAGTGGGGTGAAGGGCTCATGCCCGGGGTGGTGACTGTCCTCTGTGATGGCCAGAATTGTCCATCAATTCTGGCCACCACAGTCCTCTGTGATGGCTTGTTAGTGGAACACTAACGAGCGCTTTCATTCGCCAGAGCTTTCTCAGCGACTGTAGGGTCCTGCTGGGTAAATGTGAGTGTTAATGCCTGTGACGGGTCAGCGCTTGTCTGATCAGCGGCAACTCTCCCGTCATTCACAAGGATTGTGTTTTAAAAGACAAAACATGTTGCAGGTGTGAGCAAGAAGTCAAAGTGACGATGGATATGGATACCACTCTATAGATAGATCCAATCCAAATGGAAAAAAAAAATTGTAAATAAAATAATCGAAAATAACAGGCATTTCCAAATTTAATGATTCATGTTTTTGCTCATGTTCCTGGGCATTAAGATGAAAATTTAAAGTACTAATGTTCTCTATCGGGAGTTCACCTGCTGTAGAAGTCTGCATTCTCATGGAGTTAGAGCACAAACGTTCCCAAGATATAACCTATTTATTGTGATCTGCAGACCACAGCTATTGCACATCAAATTCTCTTGAGATCAACTGACCCACCGGGTACAAATTGATAGCCATTTACCCATTAAAATGATACCCATTTACAGTACTTGTAATTAGTAAGTGTTAATAATGAATTGTCTTCACTTTTTATAACACCGTCATACAGCAAGTTCTCAATTCTTCAATAAACATTGGTGTGAATGCAATGTGCTCTTTCAATAATTTTATAGTTGAAAAGTTTAATTCTTTAAAATGAATGTTAGATGGTTTAGGAAAACTAAGCAGATTTGTGGTACAGATCATGAAAGTGTATCATAGATGTATTGTATAAGAAAAAAATACTACACATAATTTGATAGAATGTGTATATTTTTGGATGTCATGTGCTGTATGCATATAACTAACTTTACAAAATAACAGCATGGGTTAAAACAAGCATTAATATGAGTGAACCAAACATACTGTACACACACTTTAAATAGGAATAAAAAGAGCTAGATTCAGAAATACATTTTTCTACCAAGAGCACTGGTTAATTTAATCTGAATCACTCCAGGATACCTGACGTTATTCCCACTGGAAACATTTGACTCAAGTCCACCAGCGATAAAAAGCCAAATAAGAGCCAGATGTCACTGGAGCATGTTAGTTAGATAAGAATTTTAACTTCCATGTGGAATTCTTTAAAAGCTCGGTGGATTTGAAGGTTAAATTATGCAAGATGAGAAGTGACCTTAAATATACATTTCTAAAACATGCCAACTAAAACACTTTCACTGGAGTTGCCAAAACCTTTGAATTTCTGAGCAAAAGGGAGAAAACACAGGTGAAGAAATAAAAACTGAGATTTCATCATTGCTAGCCTTGAATTTAAAGTAAATGCTAGGTTTCTTATGCTGTACTGTTAAATGACATTTGATTTTTTTATGCTGTACTTTCAACATCTACTTATAAGTTCTTATCTACTCACAGAAATAATTGTTTTATTTTGTAGGTGAAATAAAATTTGGAATTAAATGATTTATTATTCTTACTGTATTCATACTGTATACTTTGAGAAAACAAAGTCCCTTAAACCCCTGTGAGAAGATGTGTCAAATAATGTTGAAGAAAGGCAATTGTGTAACTACATCTGTCAGTTAAGAGTGAGTAATTGTGCTCATTGGAGTGTACAGGTGAGAAATATGAACAGACATGAAACATAACATTTTGGGACTCATGAATCATATCTGTGAAGTCAACACGTTTTGGAGTACTTGGATGATTTATGACCCCTCCTATCTGAATGAGAAATTGTTGAGGCTCCCCCTTAATTTCCTTTTTGATCAAATTTGGGAGAACTAAATTACAGCTGCTCTCAAAAACCTTTTTCTTAGCAGTTACATGTCTGAAATTGAAGCATTTTTCTTTCCCCTGTATCTAAGAATAAATTGAAAAGTAGTACTTTAACTGCTGATTCTTCAAGAACTGTTGGGAATGTTCTTGGCATAGCCTGTTGGAGGAGTGTGTTGACATAAAGCAACAGGCTGAGATAAATGGTTTTCAATCTGTACAGTATTTTGTACGTGATATACTGTACACCTAGCCATATAATATTAAATATATTTTCTTGTCAGGATCTCCAAAGTTTTTAATATTACTTTACAATTGTCTTAATTTTTGGAGTACAATTTTAAATAATTTATCATTTCAAATTCTGTATGTCCCTGTCATTCATTGACGTATTGGAAATATTGTGACTTGGGGATGTCAGTTGTGACATATTTACAGCAGGATATGATTCTCAGATCAAAACGCCTTTCTTGAGTCTTTTGGACACACAAGACACACAGATCTTAACAATTTATAATTCTTTAGTAATTTTAATTTCACCTGAAATGAATCACTTGCCCCACAGCTTTTGGGCCCTAGAGCACCTTCTTCATAGGCTCTGCATGTGTTTTAATGTTTTATTTACCAAGTGCTTCCATTTCTTACATGCTGTCTAGATGGCATCTCTATATTGTCCCATCTTCAGTGAATGAAAGTATATACTGTACAGTGTGTAAGCAGCATCCTGCCATTATCTGCCTATTGTCTTCTTTCTTAGGCACCCACCATGACACTGTATTGGACCATAAGTGGTTATTAAAAATTAGTCTATGGGGAAAATTATGTCTTTAAGAGATAGGAAGGTTTCATTCAAAAACGTAAAACACTTTTTAAGTATGATCATAGAAGAATATGCCGTTTATGTGTTTATTTGTAGTATTATTTTGCTGGCAAATTGACAGATGAGTATTTCTGCTAATCCATCCCATGCATTTAGTTATGGTGCTATTTCTAACAGTGCATTGCACTTTTACTTTCAAGCTGTAATAACATGGATCCATAATATAAAAAGAAGACTTTGGTGTGATAAAGAGGATTTTGCTGAAT